AGAACAAAAGAACAAAAGAAAGAAAGCACTATGTCATGCAGAAAAAAAGCAAGCAAGCGAGCTAGCGGTATTTTTTGCTCATCGTCGAAACATCTTTTTCTTTTTTTTCTTACTAATGTTGATGCATTTTTGGATCTATGCCAGCTATCTGTGAATACAATAAACCTCCGCAAAGCACATGCGAGACATTGAACGGAAGGACACAGAGAGCAAAAAAAATAAAGAGAAAGAACGAGAAAAAGTATTTCATGCTAAAAAAAACAGATATGATAAGTATTAATACATAACAGATGGCATACCATTAAATGATCTGCACCAGCAGCAGTTCCTTTTTTATTTTGTTGTTGAAGTCGACCGAGTGCTGCTTGTATTCGAAGATCATCATTACCTTTTGTTAAACACTTATGATAAGAAATCGAAAAGCCCGTCGGTGCCGATGACATTGATGCATAATATTGTGAATCGGATGCCGGTAATGTCATATAATTTTGAGTAGCAGTTGACTTTTTGTCAGAACTACTATTTTTTCTACTTCCAGTTAGAGTTGTACTAGAACTAAGGTTAGTATTTATAACATCATCTTTTTCATCAAGAGTATCCGTATCTGACAAAGAACCAGTAGAAACATTTGGATCATCATCATCATCAAGTTCTTCTTCTTCTTCATTGATGGTTGATCGTGAGTTATCTTTTACTAAAGATGATTGGGTAATAAGATTTTGCCGTTTTTTATTTACATCTAAATCAATTGATTTTGTTGTTGTTGTTATTAATGTTCCCAAAGGCTTTTTAGACTTTCTTGCAAATAATTTTTGAAAAAGAGATTTTTCAGGTACTGATTGTGCATCAGTTTTTGAATGGGAACGAGGGCGTCGACTAACATGTTCTTTCGTTGATGATGGTGATGTAGAACTTGTTAAATTAAATTTTCCAGGTGGTGATCTTGATGAAGTAGTAGGCACAGTAGTATTTGCATATGGAGCAAGAGCAGCAACAACATTTCGTTGATCAAAGCCACTATTTGTTTCATTATAAGCAGCAGCAGCAGAAGCAGTAGCGCCGCCACCAGGACCGGAAGTATTATTTGTTGTATGAGACACTACTCCAATAGAATTAGTTCCAACTAAATTCGATTTTTTATCATTCCCACTACTACGTAAAGGCAATAAAGCTTGTAATCGAGCTCGTTTTGATGTTGAATCAGTATTTGTTTTACTCGGCGATTGTGATCGATCTATATCAGTTTGATCAAAACTACCAGCTGCAGCATTAGCTTCATTCTAAATTATGTGTATATATGTGTGTTTACATGTGGTTATTATTTTTTTTTGTGGTGAAAGAAAAATCAATCTATGTCTTTTTATTATTTTCTATCTGACTTTTATCTATACATACCATTTCTTTGACTGTATCAAGTAATACCGATGTTCGTATCGAATGAGTATTTATTGTTATAATTTCGTTAGTGTTTTTTTCTTTTGGTAGAACGAGGATAAAAGAATATATTACTTATGTTTATTGGATAGAAATACTGTATTGCTACTGCCTCGTGCTTTTTTTCTTTCTTTGGGAGAGAAACAGCGCTATGTATGTAGTTTCGGCTCTTGCGACAAGAAAAAAAAAAAGAAAAAGAATATTATGCAATTATGTTTATTTCTTTTTTTTTTTTCTCGTCTATACGACTCGCTCAGATATATATATATAGAGTACGTAATTTGCTGTTCTTTATTTCGATACTTTCAAACGAAAATATCAAACCATACCTGAAAGATACAAACCTTATTCTTTTGTGATTTAGTCATTGTAAATGCTCAATAAAATATCATTGAGAAGGAGACTTTTATGTCTTTTTTCTTGGTTTTTTTTTTCTCTCGAATGCGATCGTCTATAGCACATGTAGGAAAATAGTATACCCAATAGGGAGAAAACCGGATGCGCTTTTTTTTCTTGTTCGCCTTTAATACTTCTACATTTATCGATGGGCGTCTTGTTTTTCTGTCGTGTAATATAGGAGACGACAAAATAACATTTTCTTTTTCTTTTTCAGATTCCAACTACTAGGTTTCGAGGGTAATTAAAACGAGAAATAAGGAAAGATAATGAAGAAAAAAAACAACTCACTCGAGTAACATGCATCGTATCTAAAATTTGAATAGCATACGAATCAAATAAGATGTTCTATCAAAAAAAAAGAAACAGATACTAATGACGACACTTTTAAGTATGGTATTGACAGAAAAAAAATAATTGACGTTATTTATTTTACCGATGGGATGTTATATAGAAGTAAAAGAAAGAAAGATTAGGTTCTGTATAGAAAATCAATCATGCGGAAAATAAAAGAGAAAAATCGAGAAACATGATTCATAACAAGAATACTATGAGTGTCACTATTGATTTGTCATGCTAATGATGCTAAAAAAGTCCATTATAATTACCAACTGATTTCAAATAAAAATGACGTCAAGAAGTCGGTACAAAGAACAAACCGAATTAATTAATATTTTCTTTATATATCGCCTACACTATTCACATCACGCGCATAGATGAAAGAAAATAAGGTTATCATTTATTATAAACTAGAATAAATTAAAGCAAGCAAGTATTTGTATGATATTTCATAATAAAAAAAATCTATGGATTGATTTTATCGAAATTGAATGAAAAAAAAAATTATTATTTTTATTTTAAATTTAGCATAAAAATAATATCCTTTGTTTTTTGATGAATTTAATTATTCAAGTACTTCATATTAAGAAAAGTTTTGATTATAAATGTGTATTCAAGAAGAAAGAAGAAATAAAATATGATTCAATTTCATAATCTAATTTGTTCATATAGCCTTGAAATATTTTTTTTCCTTCAAAATAAAATTAATTCTTGGTCTTTGTTTTTTTTTTTTATTTATACGTCATGCCTGGAAAACTATCAAGAGTAGCATCTATCAGAATTTAAACGTTTTAGGAAGTAAAATATTATTCTATAATTCGCCTGACTATTTCTATTTTCATTCCTTCAGTTTAATAAATTATCTATAAAATAAGATTGCATATTATTAATAAAAATTACATAGAACCGAAAAATGCTGAGAAATAAAAAGAAAAAAAATTGCCTAGATGTATAGAATCTCACAAGCAAATAACCACGATTTCATATTAAATTCGTGAAGTGAAAACCAAACTAACAACTAAGTAAATGATATAGTAAGGTTTCAATTAAAAAAATATTAAAATTGTGGTTTCATATGATATGATAAATTTGATTTTAACCACAAAGTTATGTCCTTATTTTAAATTTTGTAATATAATACAAAATAAATCAAAAGTAATGACCACTCTCTTTACATATATTTTTTTTAATGAAAATAATGCAGAATAAATAAAGAAAAGAATATATTTCAATCTTCTTCTCGTTAGTAAACCTAAATCATAATAAAAATGGATTAAATTTATACTTCGTAACTAAAAAGTCATTCGTTAAATATACCTTAAAAATATAAAGACTTAATTTTTTCACATAATTTCATCGCTATGTACTGTTGTTTTTCGTCTCTTTTGTACTAATGATAAAATAATAACTAAATACACATATTGATCAGATGACTATAATCACAAAAATATTGAATGACATAATTTAATGAAAAAAAAAAAAAAAAAGAATTAAGTATTTGTCAGTAGTTGAATTACAAAAAGTTTCATAAAACTTTTGAATGTACTTAAAAAATACATAAACAAGTTATTGACAACAAGACATACATACACAATCTGCTTCGTCTGCGTTGACCTTTTGATTTATATACTTTTTTTCTTGATGTTTTATGTATATTTTCACTTAAGTGAGCATTTGATCAAAAAAAGAGCGAGCAAGCATGCAAGCAAGCAATAGAATTTCGAGAAAAAAAATCTTATGAAATGAGAATAATTTTTTTGACATTAATTTATGAGTTTACCTCATATATTGTTTCAAGATCTTGTTTTTCAGGTGTTGAAAATAGACGCGGTCGACCATTTACTGGAAAATTAATCGTATTTGATACTGGAGGCAAAGTAGAACGTTTATCACATGTCATTGATAAAAAAACCTGCACCGATCTTGGTCGAATAAGAAAAACTGATTGATTTCGAAAACAAAATAAGTAGTTCACAGAGCCCTAAACATGTGCACAGAAACCCACATCGATTGTGCGCCTTTTATACTATAGCACTTACACCTTATTCTCCTTTTTCTCTCGTTTTTCACGCGCAACAACTACTTCTTTCAGTCACTTAATAAAACGAGAAACGTTGCCTGCTGGCGTCGTTGTCATCGCAGCTATCGTTCTATTTGTTTTTATCTTAAAAAAAAAAAAAAAAAAAAAAAAACGAAGAACAAGAAGAAGAAGAAGAAAAAGAAGAAGAACACAATTATGTGAGGTGGTAACAACAGCACTAGTAAAAACACCAATACTGTCGTATAGTTTTCATATGCACAATACACATTATTTTTTCGACGTCATAACCTATATCTATTGATTTATTTACACAAAACACTTGTTTTTTTCGGATAAGACTCCTTTTCATTCTATTTTTTTTTGTCTCTGATGCCTCATCATCTTATCAGTCTCATCAACATTGATTACATATAACCATACGGCACCGGAAACAACAAAAGAGAATTAGATGTTGATACAATGGGAATATTTGATAAGAAACAATTTTGATAGGCATCATGATAGAATCATACAGTGTGAAAAAAGTTTTGTCATATTTGTAACAGATTGAAAACAAAAGCCCACATAACTTTGACTTCGATATAATACCTTTTTTTGATCTTTTCTGCGCGCATCCACAGTTATCGAGGGGGTTTTGCGCAGCTGGTGTTATTTTTCTTTTTCATTTCTTTTTTCTTGTGATTGTCACTAGTCATTACCTGGGTACTAAATGACTCTTTTTCATCACTTAATTGCGCACACTCGTGACAACTTGCAAATATAGCGGTACAACAAACATTAATATCTATATTTATATACATATTTGTACACTTACTTCATCAATAGTATCAAGTTCAGTATAATTGTCGAGTTTATCTGAATATTTGTGTTCTGGTACACTAACACGTCGTGTTTGTCGATTAGAATGAATATTACTATTAGAATTGTCACTATTGTTTTTGAAATTAAGAAATTTTCGTGTAGGTGAAGTGAATACCGATTTAATTTGTTGTCCTAAGCTATCATGTTCTAATGAATGACGACGCATAATAATAATAATTGTATTTATTGTTGTTGTATTTCTGTCGTTTGAATTTTGTTTAACTAATTCATTCGTATAACAAAAGAAAAGAAAAACAAAATGAATGCAACAAAGAAAAAAATTTATTCAAGATATATATATGAGAAAAAACAGAATGTCATTATAAAGTGAACTTCTCGAAAGAATAATAATAGAAGTTCGAGAATGGAGTTATTATTTATGTAAAAGAAAAAAAAAAGAATAAAATGGATTAGAGACAAATCTGCTTCTTTAAACAATGTAGGTGTCGTAGATGAATAACATCGTCTTTGTCTTATTTGTTCGTTCGGTTTCCCTGCTGAGTATGTATGTATGTCTATGATATTCCTTATTTATAAAAGCAACATACTACAAGAAAGAAATTCGAAGAGAAGAAAAAAGACGTAATGTTGTCGTCAGTTTTTTTTTTTTTCTTTATTTAACATTTTATTCTGCAAAAACAACAATAACAAGAGTATAATATCTTCCTATAAATCACGAGTGGGATGATTGTGATTGTTATTTTCAGCGCACAGTACATTAATGACGTAGTTGGATTAAAATAATATGCACAAGTTGATGACATGTCTAAAAACGGAAACAATGAATTATTGGTACATCATAATTTGTCAATATGCAATCAGACCATCAAACAGAGAAGAAAGAATTTATGTCATAGAATCTATTTACCATAATATTATCAAGCAAACCAGAAAAGTATTCGATCATTTACATATTTGATAGACAATTTTAAAGATCTGAATGATTACACAATGCTTGAAAATACGTAGACTTATTCTAAAGTTTGCTAAAACTCAATTAAAACTCTACATCAGGTACTACTCTATCTTTACCTAATGATGATGTCATTTTAAAAAGAAAAAAAAAGTGTTTTTATAAATAGATATGTCGTGCTAAAGCAGCGTTGATCAACTAAGATACAGAACAAATGAATAAATATTACTGATCAAAGTTTTTCTTTTTATGTTGAAAAAATGTACTTTAATGTCGGGCAATGATTTTTATAAATCAAAACTCTAGATTCTATACGAAAAAATACAATTTTATGTAACTATATTGAAAGTAAATAAGACTTAAAAATATTATTCGAAGATAGAAAATTAATCTAATCCAAGTAGCTTTTATTTCTTGTCTATTGATTAATTATTTATCTATGTACGTGACAACATCTCTTATCACATTACATCCAAGTAGTATTTTCCGCTTTCTAATTAATATCATCTTGCTTACGAGCCAGTTTGAAAACATTAAATCCTACATATTCTGTCGATATAAGTTACTATACAACTCAATAAATACTACTATTAATGATATAATTTTATTGTCAAAGTACTAGAACAAGAACATTCAGAACAAACAAGAACTTTAAAACTGTATCAATGATTGACGTCGACAGATGTAATTGTCAAAATAAAAAAAAATATATATATTTTTAGTTTTCTTTTGTCAACACATTGATTCAGTAAAAATTATAATAGAAATATTTAACAACAATGTAATAATCTTCAATCTTCTTAGTAGATAGCCGTGCTTCGAAAAAAGTGATCAATTCAAATCTAAAGATTAAATAAATTATAATATACCATAGTTCGAATAAGAAAATTGTGATTCTTAACATCTCATATTACGTTTATGAATGAGCACCCGGAGAGTACGATTACGATCATCTATGATCTTAAACATTCGAAAATACTACTATTTTCGTCGTACTATTGACTTCGGAATTACCACCATAAATCATTATGTTGTATACGACACTATAGATCATCGTCGTCATACAAACTTCTTCACAATGAGATGACAGACAGCTTTCTATTTGCATTCATCTTTTCTCTTAACATCTGATAAGTACAACAAATATAAATCTTTTTTTTTTTTAAATAAATACTAACCTTTGAATTGGCTGCTGAATTGATAAGATAAAAACAATGCTCGATAAATCATGCCTATATATGAGTGTATATACTTGAATCCTATTAGGATATATGACGCTGTGTTCGTAGCACATGACAAACATTTGCCGATATAAATCGTTTTATACGGCTGTTTAGTATCGTGCTTTGTCAACTTAGAACGTTACATATGTCAATTCACATATGAATTTAAAAACAAAAGTACTAGTCTATGTGAAAATAATAAAAAGATGTTTCTCTCATTCAGGATTATTGAATCAAACAAGGAAGATATGAAAAGTAATTTATCATAGCATGGAAACATGTCAAGACAAGAATTAACTCTCTGCAATGTTTTAATAATTTTCAGAACATGTCTTTGTGTATGTAACTGTTGAAAAAAAAGTTTTTATAAATCATTCGACAGCCGACAAGAATTAGTCGTATTTGTATACCATGAAAAAAATTTGATCTGTCTCTTGCAACATCGATAAAGAGTTTAATCTTATCAAATACATTAGAGAAATGTTTAAATTTTCATACGTTCAACATGTATGAATAATTTTGTGGTATATGACATTGAAAAATATAGAGTGCAATCAATTTATTTAGTTATCTTAACAATAGATTGTATCAATTCGAATGAGAAATTTACTTTTGAGATTACAATTATAATCTAATTGTTTTCTTCAGTATTGGCAACATCTTTTGAAAATTATTCTAGTCTATTATATTGAAATTATAATTTATTCAATATTTTTTCAGCATCGTTTATAACACATTGACAAATTCTTTATTTATTTTCTCGTTTTTATTAATATTTTTAATCGATTCTCTATTTAAAATTTTGCTGTAAGTCTTTCTCGTAATAACATTAAACATGTATTTAAATAAATCAAAACATTGACTTTATGTATTACTACTTCATTTAAATCCGTAGTTCTTGTTATACAGAAATATCAATAACAATAATAATTTTATAAATAAAGCAAACATCAAAAACAAAACTCGTCATCAATATGGAATTTCTCTATCAAAAATTAGACATTGATAAATCCATCATTTCAAAACTATAAATGCAATAAGCTATAATAAAAATATATCATCTTACTACATTCTTCAATGTAACTATTCGTATCATATTTTCATTGAGACAAGGTCATAAATAAAATTGTTTGTTTTATCGACAATTTTTTATGTCATTTAGATGTAAATATAGATATTATAACTAAATTGAAGAATAAATTACAAATAACTTGTAACACAACAGTTATTCATATTGCTGAGAATATTATGAGACAAAAGAAAAAAAAAAGGAATGTATGAATTATAGAGATTAGACAACAGAAAAAGCAATCAGACGGAATGTACATTTTTATTGATTTGTTTTTTTTTTGAAAGTAAGACAAATATTAACGTTGCTTATTTGTTAAAATTCGTACCAGATCTTCACAATTACATCTATATGAACAACAACAAAAAAAAACTTTTTATGATTAAAATAAAATTTCTACTTTTTATTACCTTCCATCAGCATCAATATCAGCTTCACGTGTTAATTCATCAACTTCTTCTTCAGTAAGTCTTTCACCTAATGATATCATAGCATGTTTAAGTTCAGCAACACTTACATAACCAGTTCCATCTTTATCAAATACACGAAATGCTTCACGTATATCATCTTCTGTTTCACTATTATTTGTTTTAAAATTTTGTGCAACTCGAACAAATGTATCGAAATCTATTTTTCGACCAACTTGTTGTTGAATTTTTTGTAAATCAGCTTCTGATGGTGATAAACCACATGAACGAAGAACAATACCTTAATTAATATATTAGAAAAAAGAAACTATGATTTTTTCTATTATATAAAATTATAATTACCGAGTTCTTGTGGTGCAATTATATCGTCATGATCTTTATCAAAAAGTGAAAAAGCTTCACGATATTGACGCATTTCATCAGAATTGTTGGCCATTGTTAAATACTTCTTCTTAGATGATCAAATCTATAAAGGACATAGAATTTTAATAGTTCAAAGATGTAACACATTTCAATGAATGAAAAAAAATAATTATACAAATGCAAATGTCCGAGTAAGTGATTAAGTTGACCGTAGATGAGTAAATAGGGCGTCAGTTACGTATAGACTATGGATAATATTGGATATTTAACCAAGCAAAAAAGAACAATAATACATATAAATTCACTGGGAAAAATACATCATATATTAAATAAATTTTAATAGTGCAAATAATTCGTAAAAATAAATTCATTTGTAGAGGTCACTAATGATCAGATATGATAGAGAAAAGATTCAATATTAAGGAATAAATCATAAGGATTGAAATGAGTTAGAAAATTGAAACTTTTTTTTTTAATCAGCGAAACAAACTATAATAATATTTGTCGTTGATGTACATGTGTGAAATTGAAATTTTCTATATAGTACACGTTCTAATAACGTTGGTTTGTACTTCGTAGCTGTCTAAACATTTTGAACTTTCCTCTGAATGATTGAACTAATTAATTTAAAATAGTCTAGTTACTATAATTATTTAGAATAATGTGGCATTATCGTTGTAGTCTACAACTGCTTCGGACATCATTTTACAAAAAAGTTCATTTTTTACGACTTACTAATGTACGCTTTCACATGAAGAAGAAAACATTTAAATATACATACACATTTACAAAAAAAGCAGAATTAAAACATCGACTAATTCGTTCTTTTTCTTCTTTTTATTTCGTTTCATATTGATGAGAAAAAAAAAAGTCATCTATTCAGTTCATTACTATTCTCATCATGTTCGTTCTGTTTCACTATGAAACAAAATAAAAAGGAGGCAATGAGAACAGACTAGGTTATGTTTTAGTTTTGGCTTTTTTTTCTTTGTAAATGTTTATATATAAATATGTTGTTTCATGTGAAAATATAATTTTACAAAAAATTATATCTATGAAACAGTGGTATGTTACCACGATAACATCACATTATTGTAAATCATTATAAAAACTAGATTATATTAAATTAGTTGAATAATTAAGAATAGAATTAAAAACGACTAAAAATTTTATCAATCTTCATTACACGATAATAATGTTTTCATGATATTTAGTCGAACGTGAGAGATCTTTTTTTTCTTATTTCAGACTCTATAATTTACAATCAATTGTTCTCTTGTTTGATTGTTTACATTCATGAATATAACACATGAAACCATTCGCTTGCCAATAATAAAAACTTACCAATATTTTTTGAATACTACTAATCAATCGTTCGTATGTCAACGTTATAAAAGTTACTCTCGAAATCGCTTAAATATTGAAGGCTAAACACGATGTATCGAGACGATGATTGTAAATTGAAAAGCGATAAATCTTTCATTTTTTTCAATGACTTTAACGATTTTTCTGATAAATTGTATATTCATGATCGATTACTATTATATGTTATGTCGATGATAGAAGTGACTTTTTTATGTAACCTGGATTTCTACATGTAGTTTATAGTTCTTCATAGTCAAATGAGAATATTACTGATGATGAAATAGAAACTATTAAAACGAAACGTTCAATAAGCACAAAATGATGTTTTGCATCCAAATTTTCTCTGAAATCACTCCACACCACAGATTGACATCGTCCAGGCCACAGAAAAAACTTATGAGGATGCTAATGACACGATTGTACTTTGACTATCTTAACGATTAAAATTTCTCTAAGTCGAACCTCGACAAACTAAGCCAATTTTAATATCTTCAGATAACATCTGTGCCTTAGTTGTGTTAGATATAAAATCATGAACTAAAGTGACAGGTACTTAATACTTCTTAAGAGATAATAAAATGTCGTTTTTTAGTTGTACTGCTAATCCGTTTTAATTATCGAGAAATCTTAGTTTTATAATACACGTTACTGAGTATACCTCTTTATTTTTTCCTTTTTTGATTTTGTTTCTCTAACATAATGCATCATGCTATCGTATAATAAATAATATGTTTATTATTATTTGATAGTTGAAATATAAGATACTGTTCTATCCAGTATGAATCAAAAAAAATAATATTCTTTGTTACTCTTTCGTTGCTTTATTCACAATTCATCTCATATTTGACAGTCAGACGTGTTTATGTCTTTCTTCTTTTCTTTAGGTTTTTTTTTTATTTGTATAATTGATTTTCTTGAATAGTGTACATAATTTTTTTATAGTGAACCATGGGAAATATAAAAGCATATAACAAAAGTTTGTCTGAACATATTTTCTTTCAAACCCAGTATGATTTAACGACCGGCTTGACTTCATTATGACAATCATGATGCACCTACACTTATTTTGAGAAATAACCGATAATAATATTCATCATCGTCTCTACTTTGTGAAAACCACCATTTTCTCCAACGCTATTAGCTCATTTTGTGAAGACGGTGTTCATTTTCGATCTTTACAGCAAACTGAATGTTTGTCTCTTGTTAAATTTTCTTCATAAATTCATTGTAAAAAGTGACTTTCTGTACAAATATTTATGTAAAATTGAATCAATTTTTTTGAAGCAAACTTTGGTAGTAGAAACTTTGTCCTTGCTTTTTTTTTATGTCGAAAGCAAATATTGTGAAAAGAGGTCCACCGGCAATTTTTTAAAAACGTGAAAGTCAGGTACTGAACAGTGAAGAAAAAAGATCAAATCGTAATATGTGATATGGTTAGATTTATGACGTCATTTTGATACTCGTTAATTAAATGCATAAACATAGTGTAAACTCAGATTCATTGAAAATTTATTTAATATCAAACTGATCTATCTCAAACCTCAGGAAATTTCATCAGAACAAGCATTAGATTTAAATCCATCTTAAATTGATATTTGCTCAAATCCAAGTATATAACAAAATTATGATGGAAACTGCAGCCATAACAATGTGTGTATGTACAGTTAAAATTTGTTAAATAAATATACTTATATGGTGCCATTAAATTTATATTGTTATTTATATGCAAGTGTTAGCAAATAAGACACTATTTGTTCAAGAATATTAGTGCCATAAATTTGTGTAAAATCGGCAAGAAAAAATATCTTCGATTTCTATGAAAATGGCCACGCCGCTTTTTAAAAAGGTTTTTGGGATGGTAGTCACTATTGGCTTAAGATTTACATCGTTCTCAGCGCCGTCCCCGATTAAGATTTTAAGAAAATCGCTAATTTCTGCTTCGTATTATCCTTGCTATTAATAAATTAAATGCCTAAAACAAAGTAAAGAATAGAAATCGCTTCGTAATTAAAAAACACGAATAGAAAGATAACGACAAAAAACATCATCTTAAAGAAGAAAACCTTTTTGTTAAAATTCTATATTAATCTAGAATTGATAGGCTCATTCAACGTTGGATTCACAACAAAATTAATCTAATTGGAAAATCGCTTGATGTGAAAACGAAGTTATGCTCGATTGCTTGGACAAATTTTCCAATTTCGTGAATATCACAATAGTGACATTCATGCCGAAATGAAATCTTTATATTGTTGTCAAGAGAGATGCAGAGTTGGCCCTAAAAAGGGGTAAATGTTCCCGAATGAAAAACTAACTTGAAGAATTTCTATAGACTCAATAGTTTTGAACAAACATCCGTAGACAATAATTTCTAAAAAATTTTCTCCAAACACCATATTTTTTTAAAAATTCCTTCCCTCCCTTGAGAAAAATTTTCTCGGACGGATATTTACGCACACGAACAGATTCTGCATATTTAGTTTCATATCTCTATGATTATAGTTAACAAATCTGCAGAAATCATACTTGACTCGCAATTTTACAAATCTTGAAATATTTCTCTAACCAATTGATAATTCTTAATCAATTAATGAAATCACTGATTGAATACGATTTTACGCTGATTTTCGAAAAATCATTTTTTTTTTGTGACATAACCACGATTTTACATTGATTTTTTTGAATATCGCCAGATCTTTCACGACGAGAGTTAGTGTTAAAACACTCTTCAAAAGTATGCATATACTTGTTTTTTCTTCTTACTAGAAATCTATCGATGAATATTGATTATTTTACTTAAGATTAGCTTAAAAATTTAGACAATAACTTATGCTGTTAAAATTCTTTGATACTTGCACTTTGTTTGTGTCTCAAGTTTAATATTGAGACGTAGATTTGAAGGATTTAGTAGCTTTTGATTAAGCAGCTTATTCCAAAGAAAATATAGCCGATTTGAAGCATGGCTTAGATATTTTATTTTTCTGGGAAATATTGTGTCGTAAGTTTAAATCCCAAGAATAAATAGCTTTGTCAAAATACTAATTAGAAGTGCACGAAAACCACAATGAGTGGCATAATATAAAATACTCAGATGAATAGAAATACATACAGAGAGATGGATAATACAGGAAGAAATATTTAGATTATTTTAGTGCATTTCGATGAATGATACAAAAGTTTTTTGAATATTTTGTTGCTCATTGTTTGACTTTAATAAATCAGAAATACAATAGTGGACACGTCTTCCACTTCTGTATCTCGATACTATACAAATTAGTGGTCCGAAAATTTATGTGTACATACTGCACTAAAAATTTATTTCAGAAGCACGAGTTTGTTCAAATTGGTTAAATACGACAAAAACCATGATGAAAAGCACCTATCTTTACTGCAAGTTATTACCCTAAAAAAGATTGCCTACTAAATTTTTTGTTAATTGTTATTAAGTGCCGAATTGATTCTTGATATTTTAACATGCAACAAAAGTCTAATATGTGCTCTTTTTTAAGTTAAAAAAAATAAGATAATTTAATCGAAGGTTGTTGTTTCTGTATTCGTATGAATTCTCTGTACCAATACAATGATTATATGGATGGCATTTGCATTTAGTGGATTATTCTTTCATCAATTTTTAACTACAGACAAAGTTTATGTATTATTGTCCGCTCAATTCACTAAACTATTACTAAGTTATGATCTTCAAAGATTATTAGATAGCTTTTCTTCACTTGAACGGTCGTGGAAAAATGACTACAATTCTAGAAGGGGTTGATGACAAAACTTCGTGTGGGATGAAATGCGACAGAAAAAAATGATCCCATAGGACATCATATTCATCAAATTATTTTCAAAAATAGTGAAATTTCTTAATGCATTTTCCCATTTAGTTAATTAGACAAAATATTATATTCCTGAGAGCGATCCAAAAGTATTGCTGAAGGTATTTTATTTCGGTGTAGAAAGGCTGAGGAAATCTTCTCTTTATATGCAGTGACGGTAAACACAATGCACTATTTTTCTGTGATATTTGATTATACTTCAACTAATATCATAAAAATAAAACATTGATAGGAGCCATATGTTATGATACATGATGATAAAATTGGACCATATTGTCTTCCATGTGTATTTCCCTTTTGTCCTTGTCTTTGTGGGTATTAGTATTCTCTTCTCTCATATTAGCCCTTGAATCAAATTAACATTCAACAACAGATGACGACGAATCTTCAGAAGATATTTTATCTGTTATTACTAAAGTCTAAACCGATACATTGCTTCTAATTATTACAATAGAAAGAATTGCGTCTTTTGTTTATTTATTCATTCATTAGTATTCATGCTACTGTGGTCTAATCACTATAATACATAATCATTTACAGAATAGGATCAACTTTATTTTTGCCAATTCTACTGAAATAGACAAGAACGTTTTCTAGACAAAAAAGTTATATCTTTTCGTATCAAAAACTGTTTTTTTTTTTAGAAGTAACTGTTTGTTACATAGATGGGATACAACGGTTCTATCAGACGCGGAACCCTGGCCGACGAATTTTGATTAGATAAATACGGTAGATAACCAGAACAAACTAATGGCAAATGAAGAATGAACTGTTCCACAAAGTTCTTCTTTTTTTATCAGAGCTATAAAATTAAAACGACCAAAAAGGGCGATCCATTATAATTCTCGTTCTTTGTAAACAATCGAGGTAAGTTCGTGTCTCAGACTTATATCCTTAATGAAGGCTACACTGACAAGCTTTCTAACCGATAGCATGTATAGTAATTGAGATAAGAGGAATGGGTGGGAGGCTTTCGACTACAACAGTATTTATCTACTGCTAAAATGTCATGAAGATGTAATATATTTTTCAAAGTTCACTTTTCTATATTTCCTAAGAAATTTATCAATACCATCAAATGAAGCTTCTATTTATCTTAATAATTTGCAATTATAGATATGAATCCATTCATACAAGATATTAATACAACGTTTAATGAGGATTTTTTCTTTTATAAACGGTTAGAGTGGCAAAGCACGACGCACACAATATCATTGAATTTGTTTTTCTTGTTGATAAAATATTATTATTTCTACTCGTTCTTTAAGGTAAAACAAACTCATGACATACTAGTGTAACTATTCTATCATTCTCTCTACAAAAAAAAACATTTAACTTTCGACTAACGGAAGTTAAATTTTTCGAACACTACTTACATTTATTCTTAATAATTAAATAATATTGATCATTCATCCGAGAAAAAGAACCAACATGCTGGTAAGTGTAAATGATTTTAAAAAAAATAATTATTTCATAAAAGTTCTACTTATACATTCAAGCATTACCAATGTTTCAAGTGAACATTGTCATGAAAATATTATTTTTTGAAAGAATATATATATATCTATATTTAGATATATCGATCTACATTTACACATATATTTTTATCTATATATACATTTTAAATTATTTCATTTTAAGTAGTAACAACATTCTTCTCCAGTCAAGATGGTTACCAATAATATAAACGTTTTTCTCTTTATTCTTCTTATATGTATCATCAATCGTAAGTGTTATTATTTGAATTAATTATAGATTATTATTATTATTCGAATAGATAAAACTTCGTCATTTGAGAATAATGAACAAGAGCCAATTGATGATATTTTTATGAAATCTCGTTTAATCAAAGCTACGCCTTCATCAATTGATCACCATTCATCAATAGATAAAACCATTAATTTAAAAATTCGTGCAACTTTAAATAATGCTCAATCGGAATCAGGAGAAAAATATTTTAATTGGGTTCGAAAAACACAACGTAAGTGATCAACATAACATTTTGTATAATATTTCTCTATTCGATTATTAGGTCCTATGGAATTTTTGCGAGGCAAACGTCATTGGTTTTTTGCAAAGGAGGCTAAAAATGATAAGAATGCTGATTTAATGCCTAATATGAAGGCAAGAAAAAGTTTATTAATACAAAGACTATGGGGACCGGCTCCAGCTAGACAACGTCTGTCGTTAGTAAAGAATTAAGAACTATTCTCGCTTTTTTTCTGTACTCGTCTTTTATGACTGTAATAATATTGAATTCATTGGAAATGTTACAGGAATTTATCTTATAAATTAAAGAAAAATATTCCAATATTATTGCTTTTTAATGAATCCATGTAATTACGATATCGACCCTTGCAAGCAGATATATTTCAACACAAAAGTCATTGATCCTTGGAGAAGCCAAATTTATCTCATTTTACTTCTCAACATTTACTAAAACAAATGGAGAAGAATGAGAAAAAACGATCAAAGTTCGATAAGATATACGAATTCTATACGAGCTTGAAGAGTAGCTAAATATAACGGAATAAATTTGATTTCTTATGAACTCTTTTAATCTGTACTTTTAAAGCATTATTTTTATTCCATTACCGTACGAGAGCCAGAATTCTAAGTACAAAAATAACGATAAGAACTAATCATGAGTATTTAGCTCGAATCTCATTACACTTGAAACTAAAACGTTTCTACACATAAAAGTATCAACAATTCAAGAAGCAACTAAACATTTATTCTAGCTTGCGTTCAGAAAAAAAAGATACTTTGAAAGGTGAATTTTCTTGGTAAACTTAATGTAGTATTCTGGATGAAACCATGTAGTCGTAAGTGAGATTATACTTTGAAATATAGGATGTTTTACTTCGTCTGATATCATGTTTGTATATCTTGATGCTGTATACCATAAAATACGATCATTTATAGACATAAAAATGTTTTCTGAGTGTCTTTGTAATCAGAGATTTAAATGTCCTCAGTCTAGCTTCATATTTCTCCATATTTGACTTTACTATTCCAGATACGGTCATGAGTATATACGATTGTATTATTGAGCTATATGAATCATATCTGCAGAGCTCACCTTTATTTGCCAACATGCGTTGAAGGAAATTTTAAAAACATATTGGCTACATAAGAAACTTTTAATATAGGAAATTAGCTAGTGAAATTTTTCTTTCATAGCAATTAGTATATGAAGTTTCTGCACAAATGATACAATTGATTTCTCAAGAGAGGATAATCCAACTGCTTTTTGTGTAATTTCTTTCGCCATTCAAAAGATCTTTTCGTCGACATGTATATGTCTTATATTACGTTTTGTTTTACTTTCGAAATGTGGGCAACATAAGAGCCTTTCATCTGCTTGCATCGCTGTTTAGGTTAACCATTGTTTCTGTTTGTCCTAATAAGCATTAAAAACTGTCTGCCACAAATCACAAATGAATCGACAAAGATAAGGTCACAAGTTAAAAAGCTTCATTATTCTGCTCGCCAATAAATCTTTTAACTCACTTCTTCAGCGGTTCTATCATGATTTAAAGCAACTAGTGCGAGATGAACAGCATTGAACATGATGAAAACTTCTAAGCCTTGTTTATGATAAACCATTGCTCAATGTCCAAGTATCAAGATTATTAGCATTATTCGATAATTGATGCAACTAATTTATTTTTTTACATAAAGTTATTTTAAATGCGTAGCAATCTTGGTTTTCTCTCGGTTTTTTAAATAAGTTATTTACTCTAATTTGACGCTGGAGAAAAGTTTCAAAGAATTTCTCTTAGTTGGAGAAAACTTTTTTTAATTTAATTGTCAATTCTGCACCTTTTATATGAACTAACAAAAATATGACCGTATAGGCCGCAAAAATCTTGTTTACAAACGTATAGATACTCGATATTCTTCATCTTAAATATGTCCGAACATTAGTATTTCATTTTCAGTGTCATTTAAAGAAAATCATATATATTTGAAGACCACTTCAAACTAATAACAATCAGTCATGCACATAAATGTAGTTGTATTCATTTAAAAAGAATTGTTTTATACTATGGCGTTCCATAACGAACAATCTTAGAATCATGTTATTGTGGAATGATATGATGTAACACTACGACTTCCGGATCTTTGCTAACTATTATAAAATCATTAAATTTCAGCATATTTTTCAGTGACAATTACGCTGAGCATCATGTATATAATTAGTGACCAGCCTAATTTTTTTATTCTTAATGATATAAAATCGAACTCAATAGAAGAAAATGTACCTACAATACTTTAATGATATTCTACAAAACAGAAAATGAAATAATTGACTCATTTTACACATCGAGAAAAGTCAATATTTGAATATAATAAAAGTACCAAAAAAAGGAATTTTACTTAAGCATATTTTAACTCTTCCGAGTTTTCATAGACTTAGAAATGAAATGTTGCTACATAATAGATGATGGATAAACAATAATTTAGATCAATTTTTTTCTTTGACAATCAGAAAATAATTATAGAAAAATCATTCTTTGATCAGAAAAATAAAAAACTCTCTAGTCTATGAATGCAGAGATTAATGATGATGATTTTAGTGATCAATACAATAGATTAAATGGCCAGTGAGTGAAATAATTATTAAAATAGTAACTAATATGTCAGTAAATTACTTAAATTTTAACTTATTTACTGTTTAGGTTTGTTAATAAATTCAGCAGTTAGCTGAATTGAAGGTTAAGTATAAGCATTGAAATAATCGAATATTAATTTGAAAGAATTATTCACTAGCCAAAAACTTTTAAAAATTTAGCAAAAGTTCAAAGCTTCATATCAATGTGAAATGAGATCGTTAAGTTAATATAACAAGACAGGCATTAATAATGCCTATATTGTAGTTGGTTTCTCTTTATTACAGCCGATGAACCAATATATGTGTATAGAAATCAGAAGGAAGTCCATGATATGGAATATTTCAATAGTGATAATAAACAAAAGAGGAAAACTATTTGCTCAATATTAAAAAGTGAAAAGAAACTAATCTATGAAAGGAAGGAAAGAATTTACATGGAAAAAAAATCACAATGCGGCTGATTACTGTTTTTAAAGAGCTACATGTGCACACATGTTGTTCCTAGAATTGTTCTGAAATGGAAACGAGAAAAAAAGAAGATAAAGGGGCTTATCGATAAGAAATCAGAGAATAACATCCGCAAAAACTGATTCAAAGAATTGAAAAAATTTTCAAAACCAAATATTTTTGTGTTGCGGAGACTGAATTCTTTAGTAACTATTTCGGACAACAGCGACGGTGCGACAGCTCAGCTGGTCAACTTACATCTCTAATTGTTCCTATGACTATTCGTTTAAAATATTGTGATCTATGACTAGCAGCAAAGATAACAATGATAGCCGAGGAAAGAAAAAAAAACGAACCAGTAAAGACGAAATCTATTTTGCTAAGATAATAATTTACTTTTCATTTTAGTTTTTTTCATTATTATTTGAGTTCCTATTAAACTCTCTTTTGGGCCTATATTTATTTAGTCTGTGGTTAATCTGTATGTTTCAATAATCTAATTTGTATTTTTTCTACTGAATACTATCGACATTTGTTTACTACCAATTATATATAATAAACTGATCATTATATAATTTATACATATCATTTCTAGATTTTTTCACTAGCTATCTCATCTATGTGACCTACCAAATCTAATGTCTCCTAGAATACCCAGTTAAAAAATCTTGTGTTTTTACATAAAATAAAAAATTAGAACAGGAACTACTTGAAAACATCTTGTCTGACGTCTTTTGTTGTTTATTCCAACAAAAGTTAGCGTAATTAAAATCTTTTCATTCTTAATATGATACGAAATATACATAGTATAATTTTTATCATATATAGGGATGTTCTGATGTCGTCTGGGTTGGGAGAAATCAATGACTCAGAAGACCGATTAGAAGATTTTTGCTAAAGTAGATCAGACTTTCGAGGGAAAGGTGAACGTTTTTGGCAAAAATGAGAGATTTACCTTGGATAATAATGCTAAGCTTGCTGAATATTTTAGTCTAGCGATTAATTATTATTGATGACATCTGCATATGTAATATGCTGAACTTTTCATGTTACAATACTTTTCATAGTAAAGATACAATGCCGATATTTGTAGCTAATATTCTTTCAGTTTTTCTTTATGAAGATAGAACTCGCTTTGGATAGATAGATATGTCATGTTTTACTAGTTTAAACAATCTTTCATCAGTTTCTACTTTTTACTTTTTCTTCAATTATTCTAGAATCCTCAAAATAACACAAGAAAATTGGTTGATTTTTTTATTTGTCATTCAATAATATATCAACCGTCAGCAACTATACAAAATGAATTGCAACAAGGGAAACTCGATATTTCTTTTTGCGTTTATTTGAGTATTATAAAGTAAATATTTGTTAGAAAAAAAAAAGAGATTGTCGAAATAACGTATTTAGTGAATATAAAAAGGAAAGAAGTGCACATATTTTAAGGAAAATATATAAAAAAAACAGGCTATTTTTCTATCTTTTCTATCTGTACTTGGGTACATGAAATCAAATAAGAAAAGAATAATTTTCCATTGGTTAATATTACATATTAATTCATTGCGAATCTTGTCGATCACGAGATCGTTGTTCATGTCGAACAAGAAAACATTTTTCTTCTGTTTGAAATAGAGTAGCACGATTTTGGTTTCGATGTTCGTCTTTTTTAATCCAATGTCCATAGAGAAGAAATGCTGTTGAATCAATCATCTTACGATAAGATTTAAATCGATATGGATTTTCTATTCAAAGAAGAAAGATAAACAAATTTATTTAAAAAAATAAATAAATAAAGCATTATTTCTTGTTTTTTTTGTATCTTACCAAGTAAGTCTTTTCCTCGAATAGGTTGTGGTCTATAATGTAATGTTCTTAAGCGATAGATTGACCAAACAAGAATAATATGTGCTTTAAGTGTCCTTTTAGGCATAAAATCTTTTCGTCGTGTTCGTTCACTAATAAAAAATGGATGTTGAAGTGCTTGTGCAGCTGTATAACGTTCAGTTGGATCAATAACTAATAAATGACGAATTAAATCTTTCGCTGTTTCAGATACATCCTCCCATTCTAAACCCGTCATTGTATATTGCCCTTCCATAATCATACGAAACATTAAATGCTGTTTACGATGCCAGAA